TGGGGCAATGCGTGGGGTGTGATGAGTGGTGTAAGATCAGCGGCGCAAGATGAGTGGTGCGTCGTGTGATGAGTGGTGTGTGGTGAGTGGTGTGTGATGAGTGGTGTAAGATGAGTGGTGTGTGATGGGCCATGTGTGATGAGTCGTGTGTGATGAGTGGTGTGTGTGGGTGGTGTAAGATGAGTGGTGTGTGATGAGTCGTGCGTGATGAGTGGTGTGCGACGAGTGGTGTAAGATGAGTGGTGTGTGATGAGTGGCGCAAGATGAGTGGTGTGAGATGAGTGGTGTGTGATGAGTGGTGTGTGATGAGTGGTGTGATGAGTGGTGTGAGATGAGTGGTGTGAGATGAGTGGTGTAAGATGAGTGGTGTGTGATGAGTGGTGTAAGATGAGCGGTGTACTGCAGTGGTCCGGGAGGCTCTGCATACTGCGCTTGAGTGGTGTAAGATGGGTGGTGTGAGATGAGTGGTGTAAGATGGGTGGTGTAAGATAGGTGGTGTGAGATGAGCTGTGTTAGATGAGTGGTGTGAGATGGGTGGTGTGAGATGAGTGGCGGGAGATGACTGGTGTAAGATGAGTGGTGTAAGATGAGTGGCGTGAGATAAGCGGTGTAAGATGAGTGGTGTCAGATGAGAGGTGTCAGATTGAGTGGTGTAAGATGGGTGGTGTAAGATGGGTGGTGCCAGATGGGCGGTGTAAGATAGGTAGTGTGAGATGAGTGGTGTAAGATGAGTGGTGCGTGATGAGTGGCGGGAGATGAGTGGTGTAAGATGAGTGGCGTGTGATGAGTGCTGTAAGATGAGTGGTGTACTGCGCCTGCCACAAAATTTACCCTTCCTCTTGAAGGCTCTGTGCACCGCACCTGCCACGAAATCTCCAATCCAGGTTCACCAAGCGCTGTGCCTGCCGCACAAAAGGCAGCCGCGGCCCAGCGGCGACCACGCGCGCCACAGCTCCTCCTGAAGGCTCTGTGCACTGCGCCTGCCACGAAATCTGCACTCCAGCTTCACCAAGCGCTGTGCCTGCCACACAAAAAGCAGCCGCGGCCCAGCAGCGACCAAGCACGCCGCAGCTGGCGCGGGAGGCTCTGTGTACTGCGTCTGCCACGAAATCTGCACTCCGGGTTCACAGAGTGGTGTAAGATGAGTGGTGTAAGACGGGAGATGAGTGCTGTAAGATGGGGTGGTGAAAGATAGGTGGTGAGACTAGGTGTGTGAGCTGAGTCGTGTGAGATGGGTGGTGTGAGATGAGTGTAAGATGCGTGGTGTCAGATGAGTGGTGTCAGATGAGTGGTGTAAGATGGGTGGTGTAAAGATGGGTGGTGTCAGATGGGTGGTGTAAGAGGTAGTGTGAGATGAGTGGTGTAAGATGAGTGGTGTGAGATGAGTGGTGTGAGATGAGTGTTGTAAGATGAGTAGCGTGCGATGAGTGGTGTAAGATGAGTGGTGTCAGATGAGTGGTGAAATATGGGTGGTGTAAGATGGGTGGTGCAAGATGAGCGGTGAAATATGGGTGGTGTAAGATGGGTTGTGTGAGATGAGTGGAGTAAGATGATGATGTGAGTGGTGGTTGAAGAATGGTGGTGTAAGAAGATGTGGGACGGCGGCGGCGGAGGCGGGCGGAGGCGGGCGGAGGCTGCGGTTGCGGAGCGGCGGGTGCAGAGCGAAAAACAAGAACCCCACATAGTGATGTGGGGAAGAACTGCGCTTCCACAAAGTCCTGCCACGAAGTCTGCACATCAAGACTCACATCGTGCAGCCCTGCCAAGTTCAACTGGCTTCGCAGCACGAGTGCTTCCAAAGACAACGTCAAGATACCAAAACGCAGCATTCGCTCAAGACTTCTTCCAGCTTCCGAAGCTGAGCCACATGTCCAAAGGTCCTGCCACGAAATCAGAGCGCGCCGAAAGCCAACATCATGTCCAAAGTATTGCGCCTGCCACAAAATTTGCACATCGAAGTAAACCTGCTCGGACCTCTTGCCCCTGCTGCGAAAAGTCGACTTTGGATCACCAAAACATGTGGATACCCTTGCGCCTGCCATGAAAAGTGACCGCCAAGTCCGAAAATGCGCATGGCACCACAACGAGAGCACAGTCGAGGAAAGCACCCGCTCGGGCCCACCAGTTTCTGCGAGCCTGCGCAGTTGAAATGCAATTCCAAAATCTCGAGGTGAACGAATGTACCGTAAATAGCAGAGCCGCCGACGGCCGCGAGCACCACTGATCAAACACCCGGCCTGAACTACCGCAAGAACTTGTAGTGTGACCACACTGTTTGGGGAACTTTTAGAAAAGCACCTTCGCGGCCTTCATAAAGCACCTTCGCTTCTAAACAAAACCCTTCCAGCCTTCACCGACGTCAACAGCACCCTGCGCGCTGCAATCAGGGTAGCGATCAACCTGAAATGTTGGAGCAAATTATCCTTTGTAAGACCTCCCAAGGCTCCAAAGGTCCCTGAAGGAAATCAAACAGACTTGATTAGAACTGCTCCAAACAAGCTTCTCAGAATGGTATCCTGTGTACTTTGCACCTCATCAACTGGGGTCTTGACTGGCTTGTTGAACTTGATGAACTTGCCTTCAGAGTGACCCATGAACAGGTTTTCGCCATGGCTTCCTTTCACGCAACCAAGTTAAGTTTGGTTCCCTAGAACACCAAGAGGTAGGACACAACATTGATGTTCAGGGAACACTCGTATGAAACTTCCTTTAATCTCAAACGTTCGGTTCCAATGTCAGACGCGGTACCATTTCCATCTGGTGTACAAGCTCCTTACTTCAGGCAACAGCGTACATCACTTCAACTCTGAAACCAGCAAAAGCACGAAGGACTTGTGGTCAGTCTTTGAATTCGAGAAGTTGTTGCACCTTTCGAAATACGGTTTGGAAATGTCATCGTATTCTTCCAATTGCCAAGGCTCCGTTGAAGAAGTCCAAAACTCCAAGCCACGTGAGGTGTTTTGCAAGTGGCACTTTGGAGCTCATGCTTCCCTCGCAATTCGCCTGTGTATACTCCTGCAGGGGGCTTGCAGCTCTGCAGCAATTCAAAATTCAATCCTTGTTTGTTGCTGGCACGTTGACGCAAGACTCCTCAAGCATAACTCCGCTGCCGGAGGCATATTCGCAGGTAAGCCTTGCAAGGAAGTCAGCCATCCGTACAGGGTAAACCAAGATATCCAAAATACATCAATTCATATCAATTCCAAAAATCACAGCTAGGTCGCTTTAGATTGCAGCGGAAACTGCACGAAAGCCCAACCTGAGCAAGTCTGGTACTAGCATGAGCAAACCAGCTGATAGCAAACTGACAAGGATTGCAGCCAAATAGCGCTGACATCATAACAAATGCTGTTCTGCAAGGGTGCTATGAACCAGCTTTGCTGCACGCCCTCTCCCGTATCCAGAGTTTGACCTGGGTGCTGACGCCAAGATTCAAGTGAACCGGAGTTCTAACTTTGTTGAGGCAAATACATTTTGCATCCGCAAATCGTGCCAGGACAAGATTGACAACCTGCCAGATTGCGCATAGGCCAATATGTGTAGCCCACATCACCACGTCTGCGTACTCCATATTATATATATCCACTGAGCCAACAGACAGTTTAAAAGATTCACCACCGACACCTGCCTGCCCTTTGGTGTACAGGAAACACAAAAGTAGTAGTCGCAGCCTCGATGAACGCATTCTCGGATTTTATGCGACTTGTTCTTCACAAGTGTCAAACTCTTCCAAACTCAGCTCGACAAGAAGGTAACACTACAGCATTGATGCTGCCACCCCCTCTGCCCGGCCTCCGAGAGAGCCAACCCTTCAGGTGCTCCTCGCAGTTGCATCTCTCAAACCAAAGCTAAAACTGCAATGTTTCCTGGTATGGACTGGTGTAGAGAAACAGTGGGGATCTGCTTCGAACTAGGGTTTGCGGATTTGGTCTGACGCTTGCGATATTATTGTGATGTGTTTTGGAGTTTAGAGACGGCATTGTGTAAGACTTGAATAACCACTCAAGACCTTCCCCGGTATATGCTGGACGAATGCTTCTTTGTTTCGATTCTTTCTGAATCCAAGAGTGTAGCAAACCTGTATCAAACACCACGTCAAAATCTATTGTGCATACGGGGACAAAACCAGAATCAAACCAACACAATCTAAAAACTCACAAAGGAGCAAGGGCATCGCTACTAGTAACAAAGGGCATTTCTACTAGGAGCAAGGAAGCTACTAGTAGCTCCTGGCCGTACTACTAGCGTTTGACTTGTCGCTGTTTGTTCTTGTTTTGACTCGCAAAGCGCCCTTGGTGACTGAGGGGAGCCCTTGGGCTATTGATATGATATGTTCTTGTTGTTGAATGTGATGCAGACCTTTGCTCCTAGTAGCATTCTTGCTACTAGGAGGGGGGGTGATTTTTTTAAGTATATACAGAAACGCATAGTAGCTTTATTGTTCCTAGTAGTAGGGCCAGGAGCCCCTAATAGCGTCCTGGCTCCTAGTAGCGATGCCCTTGCTCCTAGTAGGTTCTTGTTCCTTACTTATCATCAATCCGTACGTCCATTAGTTCCTGTGCATTAGCAATACTCCTTACTTTCTGCGCATGTGACTTGAATCGGTGCCTCCGGCGACCACATCGCAATGCGTCAAGTTATCGTGGTACTGGCAGCGTGTAGTTGATTGAATTCTTAAAGGCGTGGCCCGTGCTACTCCTGCCCTTCATAAAAAGATCCGTGTTACCCCGTGCTGTTTCCTGCCTGCTTGATTTTGTGACGTGCACCTAGCTGCTTCCACACATCATGCACACCATCGTGGTGCTGCATTGGTGCACTATAGGACTTGATCCGGTGGCTTCGCATTTCTGTCAAGGGTCAACTCTGAGTCAACAGTCTGCTTGAAGGCATCGAATTCAATTCGCGCACATTCTAAGCCGTGGAAGTGCAAACCCTGAAATTCAGCGAGGAATGAGGCGGCTGTATCATTGGCTTGAAGCATGTTGTCCTCAGGAGCTCGCTGATCCTAGCTGCACCACCCGCTCCAACAAGGCAGCATACCGCCCAGAAGGTGGCAAAGCCTCCCAAAAAGAGTGCTGTCAAGAGAGCTGGAAAAGTAAAAGCCTGTCTATGCTTGACTGTCCATCTAACCTTGAACTAGTGGTTTGAAAGGATTAACTACTCTCCCTGACTCTCCCTTAACTTAGACCTAGTCTAGACCCATCAAGTAGAAAAGCATTTTGCTGCACTTGGATCTGCCCCTGCTTAACGGTGCAACAAGTGACAACATGGAGGACAGAACTGTGTGGAAAAGGGGTCTTGAAGCGAAACACGCGAGCGAGGGAGGGAGGGAGGGAGGGAGGGAGGGAGAGAAAAAAAGAAACGGGAGGGGGAAGAGAAAAAAACAAATTAGCCCAGCTGGAGACCCCAATAGCAAGATACAAACCGGGACAAAAAAAAAATCTGGAAACAGCTGCTGTTTTCAACACATCGACCATATCTTCCTTGGACACCATCATCACATAACCGGGACACCATCACAAAATGACCAGGGCACCATCAAAACATGACCGAGACACCGTCACAACATGACTGGGACACAATCAAAACATGATCGGGACACCATCACAACATGACCGCGCCACCATCACATCAAAACATGACCGGGACACCGTCACAACACGACCGGGACACCATCAAAACATGACCGGGACACCATCACAACATGACCCGGACACCATCACATGACCGGGACACCATCAAAACATGACCGGGACACCATCACAACGTGACACCGACACCGTCACAACACGACCGGGACACCATCAAACATGACCGGGACACCATCACAACATGACCGCGCCACCATCACATGATCGGGACACCATCAAACATGACCGGGACACAATCACATGACCGGGACACCATCAAAACATGACCGGGACACCATCACATCATGACCGGGACACCATCAAAACATGACCGGGACACCATCAAAACAGGACCGGGACACCATCACAACATGACTGGGACACAATCAAAACATGATCGGGACACCATCACAACATGACCGTGCCACCATCACATGATCGGGACACCATCAAAACATGACCATCAAAACAGGACCGGGACACCATCACAACATGACTGGGTCACAATCAAAACATGATCGGGACACCATCAAAACATGACCGGGACACCAGCATCACATGACCCGGACGCCATCAAAACATGACCGGGACACCATCCGCCCACCACCTCTGACGGTGACCCGACGGCGCCCGTCCGCCTATTAGTTTTGCAAGACCCCATAGCATGGCTATTGGGGAATCCGCCGACCTGGGGTGAGGCGTGACTGTCGATGTTAGCCTTAGCCTTAAGCTTTAGCCTTAGCCTTAGCCTGATCCTTAGCCTTAGACCTAGTCCTTAGCCTTAGACCTAGACCTTACCTCCCCTACCCCTCCGGACCCTTGTTGCAGTGACGAAATCCGGTCCTAAAAGCTACGGAATTCTCCGGGAAAGCTACCTGATGGCGACCTGGATTGTCCAAGATTCTGCCATCCCAATTGATTTACATCTTGGGGCACCCTCTCGACCCGCGCGGGAAAATAAGCACGGTCCAAAATGGTCCTGGGCCCGAATCCCGGGCTGGTCGCGGCGTGGTCCCGGCCAATGCCCTTGCTTTTTCGTAGATTTTGTCACGTTTTCTGTTGGTTTATGAGATGTTCAAAGGCTTTTCTGGCATTTTCCTAGGAATGCTCTAGGCTTTGTCTAGATTTTGTTATGTTTTCGGCTGGAGGCTTTTCCAAGAATTTTCTAGCGCTTGCTGGGAGGTACCCAAAAAGTCGACTTTTTGGGTACCTGCTGTGGTGGTGATGGGTTGGGTCACCGGGAGAAACCGATCGATTCAGCACAAGTCCGGGCGCCGAGTCGACTTTTTGGGTACCTGCTTTGGTGGTAATGGGTTGGGTCGCCGGGAGAAACCGATCGATTCAGCACAAGTCCGGCGCCGATACGCGTGGCATTTGAATGTACCCTAGACCATGGGCAGCGCCCTGCGGCCCCACAGGCCGCAGAACCCAACGCGTCACGGGGTTCATGCAAGAGCTGACGTCCGATGGTAAATCTGGGAGGTACCCAAAAAGTCGACTTTTTGGGTACCTGCTTTGGTGGTGCTGGGTTGGGTCTAAATTCTTGGGCAATGATATCCTTTATGGGGAGGAGGGTTCAGCATTACGGGGTTCATGCAAGAGATGACGTCCGATGGTAAACCTGGGAGGTACCCAAAAAGTCGACTTTTTGGGTACCTGCTTTGGTGGTGAAGGGTTGGGTCTAAATTCTTGGGCAATGATATCCTTTATGGGGAGGAGGGCTCCGCATCACGGGGTTCATGCAAGAGATGACGTCCGATGGTCAATCTGGGAAAAAAATACCGCGGTCCACCCGCGCTGCTCCGTCCTAGAACCAACACGCCACATGGCGCGGACACGGGCGCCTGACAGGCATGCGAAAATCTTACCAGAGCCTTTCACGTTACCACGGGCACTGGCCGGACCTCGTCCAGCGCAAAATCTAAACAAAGCCTAGAGCATTCCTAGGAAAATTCCAGGGCATGTGCCGGGAACACTAGAATCAAATAGGTTAACAATAGATTAATCAATTTTTGGGGAAATCTGGGAACCTAAACACAAGAGGAAGTCCTAGAAAATTCTACAACAATGGAAGAAAATAGGTTCGCAATTTTCTACGCATACCTGCCAAATCCTACAACTCCCTTTTACAACAAACCCCGGGTCCGGAAAGGTAAAAAAGTAAGGTCTAAGTCTAAGTCTAAGGCTAAGGCTAAGTCTATGGCTAAGGCTAAGTCTATGGCTAAGGCTAGGCTAAGGCTAAGGCTAAGGCTTAAGGCTAACATCGACAGTCACGCCTCACCCCACCTCTCTGGCTAGAGCAAGGCTAGCGCTAAGGTTCTATCCCTTGGGGGTCGGCGGCTGCAGGCGGTAGCCTGGTAAATCCGGGCGCCGGCCACGGGCCCGTGTCCTTGCCGGAGGCCTTCGGTTGGTAACCGAAGGTTATATACGCTCGCCGCCCCTGCCGCCGACCCTTTTGTTGGACCGCGGGGATACCCCCGCCCGACCCCCCGCCCGAATCCGCCCGACAGATTTATATGTATCTTGCGCTGGATGTTCGAAAAATGTTCAAAAACATCGTTTTTTACAGTGTTTCGTGGCCTTCGGCGTCCACGACAGGGTGCCCGTGGTGTCGGTTATGCGTGCCGCGCGGGCAGGCTTAATCGACATTTCGTGGGTGTTGGGCACATGAGTTGCCTTACATATCCCTAACATAGGCCCAAGATAGCCAACATATCCCCAACATATGTCCAACATAGCCTCCAAGATGGCTCAACATAGGGCCAACATAGACCAACATGGGGCCAACATACGCCAACATAGGCCCAACATAGGCCCAACCTAGGCCAACATAGGCCTAACATAGGCCGACCTAGGCCCAACATAGGCTCAACATGGGCCCAAGATGCGCCCAACATAGACCACATGGGCTCAACTTGGCCCAACCTGGGGCCAAGATGCGCACCAGATAGCTTAACTTTGCTCAATAGGAGAGGGAAAGAGAGAGAGTGAGAGAGAGGGAGAGGGAAAGCGAAAGCGAGAGAGAGGGAGAGAGAGAGAGAGGCAAAGACAGCGAAGACGGAGACAGAGAAGACCGAGACAGAGACAGAGAAGACAGAGACAGAGACTGACAGAGAAAGAGACAGAGACAGAGACAGAGACAGGGACAGAGACAGAGACCGACAGCGAGAGAGAGAGAGAGAGAGAGGGAGAGGGAGAGGGAGAGAGGATCCAGTGCGCGGACTCTAACCCAAATTGGCCGGCGCCCGGCTGTCAGGCGTAAGCCTCATAAATCCGGGCGCCGGCCACGGGCCCGTGTCCTTGCCGGAGGCCTTCGGCTGGTAACCGAAGGTTATATACGCTCGCCGCCCCTGCCGCCGACCCTTTTGTTGGACCGCGGGGATACCCCCGCCCGACCCCCGCCCGAATCCGCCCGACAGATTTATATGTATCTTGCGCTGGATGTTCGAAAAATGTTCAAAAACATCGTTTTTTACAGTGTTTCGTGGCCTTCGGCGTCCACGACAGGGTGCCCGTGGTGTCAGTTACGCGTGCCGCGCGGACAGGCTTAATCGACATTTCGTGGGTGTCGGGCACGTGCTAAGAGCAAAGGCGGAACATGTGCTCCAAGATGATCTGACAGAGGCCCTCAAGAGGACTCAACATAGGTCTCAGATATGGCCCACATGGCCCCAAGATGGGGCAACATAGGCCCCACACAGTCTCACATAGCTGCAAGATGACCCTACCTAGCTCTCAGATATGGGAAACATAGCCCCAAGATGAGCCAAGATTGCCTCAAGATGTGGCAACATAGGTCCCACACAGTCTCAAAAAAAAGAGAGAGAGAGACAGCGAAGATGACTCTCCCTAGCTCTCAGATATGGGAAACATAGCCCCAAGACGGGCCACATAGGCCCCACACAGTCTCAAAAAGAGAGAGAGAGAGAGAAAGAGACAAAGAGAGAGAGAGAGAGAGACAGAGACAGCGAAGACAGATACAGAGAAGACCGAGACAGAGACAGAGAAGACAGAGACAGAGAAGACAGAGACAGAGACAGACAGAGACAGAGATAGAGACAGAGACAGAGACCGAGACAGAGACAGAGACAGAGACAGACAGAGAGAGGGGAGGGAGAGAGGAGAGAGAGAGAGAGAGAGAAAGATGGCAGGAAATGTGCAAGACGGCTCTCCCGACTTCGGCGTATACTCGGTATACGCCCGGGCGGTCAGCCTCCTTCGCGAGAAGGATGCTACCGGGACGCCCGAAGTCCCGGTCCCCGTCTTGCACAGGGAGGGGTTGTTCGGTCCCCCACCGACGGAAGATGTAGACGATGTGCACCTGGCGAGAACGAACTCGCAGACACTGCTGTCTGCACGCACCGCGCATCCGGCGAGAACGAACTCACAGACACACCGCGCGTCCAGCGCTCGCTGACCGGTCCTTTTTGACTGCTACGGCCTGGTTGTTGTCATGAAGTTGGCCGCGTGAGCGATGCTCTGGCGGAGGCTAGAGCGAAGGCGCAAACGCGCCAAGGATTGTGCGACTGGACGCGCACAGCATCTAGGCTCTCGACGGTGGTGCGATGGAGGGGGTTGGTGATTAGACGGTTGTTGCCACCGCTTGTTAAGGCATGAGAGACTTGAAATGACATACCCACATACCCACGTCGAAATCGTGAGAGGGCATCGAGAAGGATGTGCTGGATGTGGCACAGTATTTGCAATGCGACTGTGACAGAGTCATGTGCTGGCAGATGGTTCAATCGAACCTTTGGCTCCACAAGCCCACGAAAACGAAGCCATGGCCGAGGCCGTTCGGGAGCAAACGATCGAAACCCTGCTCTGCACTTGCTTTTTGACAATGGAATTTCTATTAAGTGGGCGGAGTATGGTATTTGCCGGGCATGAGCGATGCTCTTGCGGAGTACGCACCAAGGATTTGCGCGGTTGGAAGCACGCCGCGTTCGACTTGCCTACGGAGTGTCTAGAATGGAACTTTTATTAAGTGGGCGGACTATGGTTTTTGTCGGGCATGAGCGATGCTCTTGCGGACTTGGCTGCAGCGGCTGCGCGATGCGCTGGCTCTCGGGTATAGGGGGTGAGATGGTGCTGCCCATGGTGGTTCTGTGCACCAGGCTTTTGACTACGGAATTTCGACAATGGAATTGTTATTAAGTGGGCGGACTATGGGTACGGAATTTCTAGAATGGAATTATCTATTAAGTGGGCGGACTATGGTTTTGCCGGGCATGAGCGATGCTCTTGCACGTGAACCAAACGCTCTCGTAGGGGATGAAATATACCTACCCAGGGTGGTTTTGTACCTCAGCTTATCGTGCTTATGCTTCTGCTTGTGCTCTGCGAACCTTTAAACGCTCTCGGTCATCCGCACACGTTCGCAATGCACACCCGGGCGGTCAGCCCCCTTCTTGCGAAGGACGCTGCCGGGACGCCCGAAGTCCCGGCCCCCGTCTTGCACAGGGAGGGGTTGTTCGGCCCCCCACCGACAGAAGACGTACACCCGGGCGGTCAGCCCCCTTCTTGCGAAGGATGCTGCCGGGACGCCCGAAGTCCCGGCCCCCGTCCTGCGCGAGGGTGGGAGAGCGATGCTCCCCCACAACCTTTTTAGCCGACACAGAGGTAGAGACAGAGACAACTACCGACAAATACCGCGACGGAGACACGGACGAAGACCCAGGCCAACACTGAGGGGACAAGGAGAAACACAGAGAAAGAGAAGAGAAGGAGAAGGAGAAAGAGAATGACAGCAAGAGACACAGCACAGAAAGAGGAAGAGAAAGATAGAGAAAGATACCGGCACGGAGACAGCGAAAAGAGAGAGCGAGGATGAAAAGGACCAAGACAAAGCGACAGCGAAAGAGAGAGAGTACTCAGCCCTGCACACCCTCGTCGTTCACGCGTTTCACACAAACCCTCACCCTGCTTGGCCGGCGCCCGGCTGTCAGGCGTAAGCCTCTTAAATCCGGGCGCCGGCCACGCGCACGTTCCCTTGCCGGAGGCCTTCGGTTGGTAACCGAAGGTTATATACGCTCGCCGCCCCTGCCGCCGACCCTTTTGTTGAGCCGCGTGTATACCCCGTGTCGACCCCCGGTCGACCCCCGCCCAAATCCGGTCGACAGATCTATATGTGTCTTGCGCGGGATGTTCAAAAAATGTTCAAAAACATCGTTTTTTACAGCGCTTCGTGGCCTGGCCTTCGGCGGATACGACTTTCGCCTAACAGGGCGCCGGTGGTGTCGGATATGCGTGCCGCGCGGACAGGCTTAATCGACATTTCGTGGATGTTGGTGACATAAGTTGCCTCACATTTCCCCAACGTAGCCCCAAGATAACCAACATATGCCCAACATAGCCTCCAAGATTGCTCAACATAGGGCCAACATTGGCCAACATAAGCCTAACGTGCGCCAACCTGGGCCAACATAGGCTCAACATGGGCCCATGATGTGCTCAACATAGACCACATGGACCCAACTTGGCCCAACCTAGGGCCAAGATGCGCGCCAGATAGCTTTACTTTGCTCAATATAGTCCCCACCAAGTCTCAAAGAGAGAGAGAGAGAGGGAGAGAGACAGAGAGACAAAGAGAGAGAGAGAGAGGACCCAGCCCTGCACATACCCAAACCCAAATAGGCCGGCGCCCGGCTGTCAGGCGTAAGCCTCATAAATAAAGGAAGAAAGCAACACGGCTTCCCACTCAATGGTAGCAGATTAAATCTGACCAAACCAAATGCTCTTGAAAACAATAGTACCTTGTCCACCTGCACTACTCTCCATATTGAATGCAAAATGCTTGCAGGCAGTTCATTGATGCATTAGTCGCTTGTTCCGAGGCCGTCAAAGAGATTGAAACTGAAGCTTGATGAGTTGAGATAATAACGCTCTTTGTTTGAAGCTGCTGAGAATGCGTGAAGTTGGGTACAAAAATGGGCACCCCCCTCGTCTCTTGACCAAGCGCAAAAAACTTTAGACTCTACATCGGCCATTTTTTGAAGCATCGAAGCTGCAATTCTCTGTGAAGACAACCAGCAATAAAATGGTCAACTCTGTGTCCACGTTGCTGCGGAAAACGTGTACTCAGTGCAGCCTCTTCTGCAGCGCGAAGCTCAGCATCTGCACGCAGCAGATTTGGTGCCTGTGAAAGCATCACGCTCAAAGTAGGCCCATGTTCAAACCACATATCAATTGAATCAATTGAGCTAGTGTACAATTCTCTACAATGCTCGGAAAAAAAGAAAAACAGGCCCCTGCAAATTAAGAGCAAGATGTACTGCCTCCAGTTCTGCAGCATCGGAGTTGCCTTCAGCTTCACGGGATTTGCAATGCAAGCAGCATTGGCAAAGCCGCACTCTCCATGCACAAACAGCGAAATGTATGCCCAACATGTCACAGCTGAATGTCTGTGACCGTAGGAAAACGCAGGTAGGGCAACTCAAACAAGCATGGGAACGGGAAACCTGGGAAGACAGCAGCGAAGAACCGTTCACGGAGGATTGCGTTGATGCCAAGGTGTTCACAAGGTGGTAGGTGGTGTGACGGCGCTTCAACCCTGCAAACACTCAAACCTTGCAGGATTCATCACGGAAAGGCAAAACAAGTGAAAAAAAAATTGTAAAGATCCCATCTGGTTGCTTGATCTCCCCTTTCTCATGTCAACTGAATGATACTTTTCACTTGGGGGGATAACGGGGGATATCGACACTATTTTTGTGCGGAAGCACAGCATAATGCTGCGTAGGATAGCCCGGGATAAGAAGGCACCACTTGACTGTCAGAGTGTGCATTGGGGTGAGAAGACGTCCCGGGGAGGGGTGATACGGTGATCGTTGCCGGCAAAGGCTTTGGCAACAAGATCTTGACTGCCTTTGCTGAACGAATAACAGTGAGAAGCACAATTTCTAAAATTCAGATTGAGGACGTGGGCAGCAACAATTCCACAGGAATGGCCCAGGTCTGTGAGAGGGCAATGCTGCTGTATTGACAGCAGGTACACAGAGCAACAAGAAATGTTTGGCGTTTGGGAAGGACAATGAGAAGCCTATGCGAAGGCCCATCCAGCCCCAGCTGGATGTGGCATGAAATGGGCCCACTGCTATTTTTGGACCATATATAAGCTTGACCGTTTGCAGGGGCTCAGCCGGCCTTAAGGCGCAAAGAGCTTTTCCTATGGAGGACATTGAAACGGTTGACAAACGACACGGGGCAGATGCAGGCATGGCATTCATATTAGCTACCGTGCCTGGCAAATAACAGCTATGCACGGCCATGCACAGCTTGCAGCTCGCACACATTTGCAACAATCGGGTGGATGCAACAGAATCGCTGCAGAATCAATTTTGGCTTCCATTTGGCCCCAAACAAGAGTATTGAGAGCGCATCAAAAGTGGGACAAATACACAGACGGCACCCTTGGCGAAACACATTATATAGATCGTGCGGCAATACTATCATTCACTAAAGCAAGAAGCGGAAAGCCCAAAGCTCACATACATACATTGAAGACGAGAGGTTTCCCAAAAAAGAACCTCCTTTGGTGTTAGTGGAATTCTTTCCAGCCAAGTGAAGCAAGCTAATCTGTGCAATAGTGGCCTGCATATATGCTATGTATAAAAGATATATGTCGAGTAACATTGTGATATGTATGCCAAATTCCATTCACATGACTGCGCTGCAAACTCTTTGAGCCAACCACGGTCTGTGTCACGTGGACAGCTCGGCCTCAGTCTTTGAGCAATCACACAGATTAGGCAGACAATAAACGGATAAGCACAGCTTCAGCTGATAAGCTGATGTTTGAACTCATTGTAAAAAAACTAGCCGTTTGCCTTTGCAACTTCAACTGGGTGGCACAGCGGGGACTTTCTTCGAACAAAGAGATTGGGCTTAGAGAGCTGGTCGATACGACTCACAAAGACACAAATGTACGACAAACGATCATTTGACAACAAATGTCGAGAAATAGCGGGCATAGAGGTGGGCCCTGTTGGTGGCAGGCTCTTCACTGGACCAGCAATCCAAATTCTACATGAAATCTCATGCCATGGATAGTTCCGCAAAGGAGTTAAATCTCCCGCGTCGAGCCCTGATTCAAACTTCCTTGCTGTCTGCCTGCAAATCTCGAGGAAGGCTGGGCTGCCAAGTGCTGATTGTGCTACAGCAACTCGCAAAGAAGCCTGAGATTTCTCAAGCAAGGCAGGTGTGGATTATGTAAGATTTCCTCAAGCAAAATCTTGGCGAGTTCTCGATTGGCCTGGTCCACTGAGTTTTGCAGAGATTCTGACTGTCCTGCTAGGGCACTGAAAGAGCTGAGAGAAAGCTCGCAATACTGTTTAAAGAACAGAACAGGAGACCACTAGAGTGCGTAGTTTCTATGTTTCTGCATTAAGGGAATCTGCCTGAATGTTCTGTGTCTATGTCCGCTTTACATTCTCCACTGTTGTCTGCCTTCATGTCATGTGCATCTAAAAGCTCCTCAATGTCATTTGCACTGATAAAATATGTAAAAACACAAACATTTTGAGAAAACGAAACAACAACAAAAACATAGAGAAAACCAAAAAAAATTGTTCTGGAGGTCTTTGCCATGCCTCACCTTGTCTGCTAAAAGAGTCCTTGAGAATTGTGTTTTAGTTTTGTTTGTTTTCTCGAGGTTTAACCTGATCCCGATTAATCTGGATTATCTTGATTAATAGCATTCGGCTTCACGAATCGGACAGCTGGTTCCAGCCTTCTTGTCCCAAATTGAAAGGCTTGGGCATGGCTTAATTCTAACTTATATTAAGTTCTAATTTGAGTCAACTCTAACTTAATTCTAATTCAGTTTTGACTTAAATGATTCAAAGTTTATCCTAATTTAGTGTTAATCTAATGAAATGTAATTCCAGCGTCATTTTGGATTTAATTTGCGTTTAGTTCAAAGTCAATTATCATTTATCGTTGCCTTAACTCGAGTTCAAGTCATTCATTTCTAATTTTCTTGTCTTACAACTTGAATATGCTTCTGCTTTCAACCCAACTAATTCTTATTGATTTCGACAAGAGATTGCAAAGTTAATCCTAACTTACTTCTAAATTGAATGCTAACTCTATTACTAATTGAATCTAATTCATTTATAGATTGAGTTAAACCTATATTTAGATTGAATTCCAAAACTACTTTTAACTGAATTCCAATTGAATTCTAATTGAATTCAAATTCAATTCTACTCCAATTCTACTCTAGTTGTTTTGTGAATTTGGTTTTAGGTTTAATTCAAATCCAATTCTAATCCTAAGTCAATTCAAGTTCTAAGCGAGTTCTAAATTAAAACAGTCTACATCGATGCAGATTGAACTATAGTTCAATTCCAATATAAACAAATTGGCGGTAATTCAACTTTGATATACTTCTAAAATAATTCTACTTGCGCAATTCAAGTTTGATTGTTTTACACTTCTATATAAGTGCGTTCTATTATAATTTCAATCTAATTCTGATTTGTGTCTAATTAAGTGCAAGTTGAATTGTAAACGTAATTCTAGTTTAACTCTGGTTCAATGTCAGGAATGATCTACTGTGAAAATGAAGTCAAGCCACGCGCATCCAGCTCTTTAAGATTGTGGGTGACTGTGAGAGTGCAATTTCTTGATTTCATTTGTTCCTCAAAGTTTAAACTCTTCACTGACTGGACTGTAAAGTTGCTTTTGTTTTGACTCCACGGCAGCTCATGGAAGATTCTATTCTGTACAGATTCAATTTAGTATAGTTCTATTTTAGTTCTCTTTCAATTCCAATTTTAGTCTTGTTGATTGTCCAGTTTCAGTTTAGTCCTTATACAATTCAAACTTGCTTGGTTTTAAAACTCTATATAATTTGACCCTATTTTAGTTACAGTTGAATTCGGATTATTTCCAGTTTTGAATATAATTTGCATCAAGCGTATATCTTATTTATTATGTTATGTAAATCTTTATTCTATGCAAATTCAATAAGCTTTGCATTATATAAAGCTATCATTTAAACGCACCACCTCCTCTCTAATTAGAATTAATTTTAGAAAAATCAACATACAAGTGAATCAGAATTTAGTTTAGACCATGGGAGTTGCAAGTCCTTCCCAAGTAGCCAAGCCATTGCAAAGGCTTTGCAGGATTGGCTCGTCCGGCCTGCAACCGTTATTCCAGTCATCGGCTTCTCTCGTGAAGTCTGTAATCCCCAAACAGTGGAGCTTGCAAGCCATATCCTTGCCTCACGACATGAACCCTGCAAGGGCCACAATCAGATGGCTGGAAAAGCAACTCCCACTCATGCCTCGAGTAGTGCTTCCACATGCTTCCACCATTGCGGTCCAAAATTGTCTGCTTTGACGCATGGAAGTTACGACAACTCATGAAAACACCGACGGGATGGCCATGGTCCCCCATAAGTTGGCGCTCCCACAGTCTATACACGCAACTCTTGCTCAGACTGGTAACACTCGACATGGAGTAATTAAATGCAAACTCTCGGTCACTGGAAAGCCTGTGAAGTAAGCTCATCGCTAAGAAGCAGTAAGACCGCCTTGGCCCCTTTTACTCAACTGGCATTGAAGCTTGTATAATCAAGAACAAACATTAAATATTGTAAAATATGCCACATACACCTACACACACACACGTACACGTACACGTATATACACATACACGCATATACATACACATACACGCACACGTACACATATTATATACCATATACACCACATATATATATATATACCTACACATACATGTATATATGTCACGTATACGTGTATATATATATATACATATACAATTACATGTACATCTAGAGTATATACATTTACATTTACCTTCACCTTTACATGTAATGTTACAGACATACATTCATACATATTATCATATCATGTCATATCAATCTCAAGGTTCTTTCAATGCGCATTGAAGACAATGAGTCACAAACCGGTTGCATTAAGTCTGGCACTGTGAGGCATGACTGTCTGGGCCTGACACATTGTGAATTGGCCGCTCTAGGGTGACAAGTCCCAGGACCCTCCATCCATCTCCATCCTATATATAATGCCGCAATGCAAAGAAATCGGTACCATGAAGCATCTCAAACTTGCTAGGACTGCTGGCGAGAGACTTTGTAGCCGGACCGTCTCAAGTGTGCGTATACCTCAGGACACACCAAAGGCGATATTGCTGACATTGCCATTGGTGCCTTCTCTGCTTTGCAAGCCAGTTTGTCTGCAGAAAGTTACGCTAAATTTTGCTATCAGTTGTGCAATCTTAAAAGCAAAACAATGTCAAGGCATCAGCCATGTAGCTGTCTACTGCCAGGTGCTTCTGAAAAGTGTGGCCTTGCAAGAGTCTGAGCGCTAGAGAAATCATCAAAATCATCAATCAAATCGTGTTGCCGGGTCTTGCGCGCATACAATGGTCAAACCGCAGACCCTCCGATAAAGATCGAGAACCGAGTACTTTTACCCCCGATATTGAGTTGCGAGGCACTGATGATTGGAGACAAAATGATATGGACAAAAGGCAAGAGTCAGTGGGATGGGATGAATCTTGGATTCAGGAAAGTATGGCTGGTTCACATCCATTCGCTAATGATGGTTCAAACAAAGATTTAGAGTGTGGCACGCTGTGGAGGCCCCATTCTTACGATGTTTTTGAACATTTTTAGTATACCGGAGGCACAGACGCACTGAATGGACTTGGCTGCCACGGTCTTAACTCCAGGGGGTCCGCTGCAAGGGCTAGCTTTCAGCTTTCTGGGGGGGGCACCAGAATAAACGATTGATGGTTTTCTAAACTTGCCAGAAATTTTTTTTGGCGCAACCCCCAAGATGCATGGAAGCCCGCTTCAAAGCTTAGAGGCCCACATTTAGATTCAACCTTTCTCATCCGTTTACATTGAGTGAGCTGTGGGATCTGAAGGTTTCAAGTCTATTTGGGTGCACTTCTAATTTGAGATTTTCGTATTTTTCAGGACTTGTTCTAAACCACTGGAATAGAGCAGGTTTCTTATTAGCACCTAGCTAATTACAGCAATTTCGTGTCCGTAGCAGAGACACAGGTGTCGTAGCTGGCCAAATACATTGGAACAGTGCAGGTTTCATATTACTTGCTGGTTGATTGTGGGAGCTGTCATAGCTGGCAAAATACATTGGAATAGTGTAGGCGTCAGGGAAATTCCTAGCAGAGAAACAGTAAAGATAAAAAAATAGCACAGGAGGCATATATGGTTGGATAGAATTTTTGCCCCAGGGAGTTCACCTTCAATTATTGATTTCGTGGGGCGCGGGTGTCGGAGATGAAGTGCAGATTTCGTGGCGCGGGGGGGGGGCAGCGACCCCCCAGCAGCACACCAGATCCAAAGGTTGGAAAGCAAACAAATGGAAAAACAAAAAGAGAAAGGAGAACAGCTGCCAAAGCAGAAAAACAACAAAAGCAAAGAGCAGAAAGACAAAAACACAAAGCGCAGAAAAGCAACAAAAGCAAAAACGCAGCATAAGCAGAAAAACAACATAAGTAGAAAAACAACAAAAGCAAAAAACAGCAGAAGCAGAAAAGCAACAAAAGCAAAAACAGCAAAAGCGGAGTCCGAAAAAATATACCAAAAAAACGGTGCTTAAAAAAAAACAAAAAAACGAACCTCCAACCTATTTTGAGGCATTGTCCTGCTGGCTATCCCTCATTGCAAAAACTAAAGTAAGAAGTGGTAGGCCAAATGATTAACCAATATATATATATATACATTTTCTGTTAAGCTGATACTCAATGACCTTTTCAAAACACCGTAAAGTGAGGCCTCCACAACATACCTTTCTGGAGATTTAAGCCTGACACTGCTTGCAGCCCAAGCACATCAGTGGATACAAGTTGGATTAGAGCTCGTCTCACCTTCATGCCTATCACCGCTAAAATTTGGACTTCAAAACTGCGCGTCCCAATGTGTTTTCTAGCGCTCAAGCTGCTTCACTTCTCTTACAAA